TTTTTTTTTTTTTTTTTGGTTGATGTTCTGAAATGCTTTTGTTAGGGAAAATCAACTCAAAGAAAAACCTGAAGCTGGTGCTGTAGGATAAGGTCCCAGCTTCCCTCTCCCTGTAGCAGCTTCAGTGCTCAGCAGTGGCAGCTTAGAAGTTAAGAACTTTCCATTACCTCCCTTCCTTTCTCCTTGCCATCTGCAAACAGTTTATTTTTTAAGGAAAAAAAAAAGTGAAATTGATTCTGTCTTGAAAGATCTAAACCTGAAATACAGTGCATTCGAAAAGACAATATTCAGCATTTGAATGTCATGTTTGTTGATCAGGGTGAGGCTGTGTGCGGAGGGAAGAGCTTCATCAGAGGAATTAGGTGAGGCTACTCCTAAAAATGAAAGATTAATTGTAGGTGACGGTGATATCAAAAACTAGGCCCTCCTACTCTGTTCCCACAGTTAAAATGTCCCTTTACTTATTAGCGCCAATTAGTTTCCATGGTAACCGACCAGCCCTTGTAAACCCGCACTCGGAGCTTCACTCATCTTTGTCTAGACTGAGCTCACCAGCCTTCTTCCTCCACAGATGGCAGCTGAGCTGGGCCTATATCTGTAGCCATGTCTTGTGCACACACATGACTGGCACATAAGTGCCTACATCCACCTTATTACTGGTACAGTGGTGGCCGAGGGAGAATGCCAGTGGCCTTCCATCCCCAACCTGCACCTCCTGCATCTGCTGCCACACTAATTCCCCCCCCTCTTGGTTATTGTTTCTTCCAGTCTTGTTCTATTATCAGCTGTTTGCTGCTCGTAATTTCTTTTCAGGGAAGCCAATACAGTACAATAAAAACCTCATTAAACAGACACACCTATCAGCCACGGAGAAAGCCCTAAACTACCCCTTTTTGTTTAAGGGATCATTAAAGTGAAAAAGAAAAACCACTTGTTTGTCATGCTTCAAAAAAAGAGAACAAAGCCAACATAAAGGTTGACCAAGCCAGGGGGCTAATATGAAGATTTAATGCACTTAAGACACCGGGGTTCCCCTTGTGCTGCCCGTGGCCAAGAACCCTGACTTAGCGCAGTAAACAAATGATCGGTGAGGCTGAGAGCACTGCATTCACTCGGTGGGGAGGGAGGTAACCGGGCTCTGCAGCATCTTGCCTGTCACAGGCTGGCCTGTGCCATACGACTGTGGGGAGCTGCTGCTGCTGTGTCCCCAGAAGTTAGTGTGGCTAGAGAAGAATCTGCTGTAGAGTGTGTGTGTAGGTGGGGGGGGGGGGGCCTTCAGTAAATGATTGAAATTGTGAGAACTCAGCAAGCCACGGGCTCTCACAATTTGTGCTGAATTTACTTTGGACACAACTCAATTCTAATCAGTGTTAATTTTGAGGTATACCATCTCTAGGAATATATCCTAAGAAGCCTGAAACACCCATCAGAAAGAATTTATGCACCCCTATAATCATAGCAGTGTTATTTACAGTAGCTAAGATCTGGAAACAGCCCAAGTGCCCATCAGTAGATGAGTGGGTAAAAAAAGCTGTGGGACATTGGACATTCACATCATGGAATACTATGCAGCTGCAAAAAAGAAGACCTCTTACTCTTTGAGACAACGTGGAGGGACCTGGAGAGTATTATGCTAAGCGAAATAAGCCAGTCAGAGAGTGACAAATATCATATGATCTCACTTATATGTGGAATCTAATGAACAAAATAAACTGACAAGCAAAATAGATGCGAAGACATGGAAGCATGGAACAGACTGACAGATCTCAGAAGGAAGGGGGGGAAGGAAGCGATCAACCAAAGAACTTCTTTGTATATATGCATAATCCATGGACACAGACGACAGTGCGGTGAAGGCCTGGGGAGGGGGTGGGAGTGGGGTCAATAGGGAAAAAAAGGGGGACGTTTGTAATACTTTCAACAATAAAGATTAAAAAAAAGAACTGAGAAGATACCGACAGCTTAGAAGCCCATCTTTTGTGGTGGCCGTGTTTCATTTTGGATAGAGTAAGACGAAATGGTCACACAATATTTCTCCTTTTTACTGCTTCTACCACCAGTTTTCCAACACCTGTTTGACATACAAATAATGATAGAGAGTAAGATTCCCCTAAGTCTAGTGAAATGCTTTATTCATAAAATTGTGGCTGAGGTTGACTCGGAAGGCACCTGTGATCTAAGCATTAGTCAGAGACAAGTTCTGATCACCAGTGTTTTATCTGATAGGATATGGGAATCTGTGAAGCTTCTTATACAGATGAATTCTTTGACGGTAACATTCCCTTAGAATTTTTTTTCCTTTAAAACAAATGACAAATGTCATCTAAAAATCCTACGATGCTAAAAATATCTACAACAATTAGCCCATTGCTATTCATATCATATATAAAGTGTCTGTAGACACACAATAAATCTTGTCATTCAGAATATCCTGCACCTCTAAATCACTCACATTTATTTATTGTCCTTCCAATAGTCTTTACTGCCTTTATTCACATTGAACCAAATCCTTCTAAAAAAAGAGAGGAGTAATTATTGCTTGTTAAATGAAGTTCACATGCTATGTGACAAGCATTAGACTTGCTCATGTTTTTGATGACTGCTTAAGCTATATGGGAGGTGACCCTAGAGCCAGTGGTGGCCTTCATACCAGATGAATGGTTTTATCACTGAAGTGATGTTTCCTCCAGAAAGCACATGCCTAAGAATGCTGAAA